CCGAGAAACAATTTTGCATCACAGCTTTGAAGGAAATTTTGTAAATAATGAACTGAATGTTAGGCCCAGTATTGTATTTTCACACATTCTGATCATTGCAGTATTGAATTTAAAACAGAGAAGAGAGTTGGTGTGTGTGTTATTGATGTGTTCTTTCTGTCTGCATAAACAAAAGTTAGTTACATTCTACGTCTGAAGTAAAAGTTATCCCTTCCAGGGGTGTAACCAGGAAGAGTCATACATTTTAAGGTCAGTTCATCGTAATATATAGTAGAAAGAAGTGTTTTTAGAAGTTTTGAGTTGTGCAGAGAGTTAGATTCAGCCTGGAACAGACTGGGATCTCAACATTGATGTGTTCATCAGTGGGCCCATCCCTACAACCTGAGGGGTGATGAGCATTTTAGTAGACTGTTTGCCTTACGTAACATGTTGGAAAAGTCCTGTGCTGACCACTCTGTGAGATTTGTCAACAACTTTGACCTTTGTTGGGAGAGAAGACGTCTGTTCAAGTCTGATGGACTGACTTTGAATTGATTTGGAGCTGAGCTGCTAGCTTCAAACATGAAGTACCACCTGAACCAAGTTCTGGCTGGAACCAGACAGCAGGAGAGTAAACAGCTGGTGTCTGATGTCTACAGCTTTTAACATCCACTAAAATCCTGAGAACGTATGAAATAGGGGTGATGGTTTCTTTAATTTTGGGAGATCGGCCAATACTTGGATAAGATCGGTGGAAAAGATCAGCTTTTCTTCTACCTCCACAAAGGTCTGAAAATCAGTCACTGTTCCTTTTTGCTCTGCTGTGAGCCTAACATCCAGTTAAAACAAGTTTGCAATAAAATAAGATTGGAATATTGAAGGTGTGTTGTGACTTTATAACACCTGACAATGTCAGCTATTTATCGGCCACAATCGAAATCTGCAGGTCAGACGTTTTAAAGATCACAATTGGCTAAAAAACTGCAATCTGTGCACCCCTAGTGTGAAAGCATGCAGGTATCAGATCCTAAAGAATTTAAAAAATGCAATAATCAAACTCTGAGTTTGGCCTCAGAAACAGTTAAGATGCAAAAAAAGGATTTGGATAACAACATCTTTAATGCTTTAAATAAGGAATCTAACTACTTTCCAAAGCAACTGCATTTCCGTGTTGCAAATATCAATATTTTCTGTTTAAAACAGTTGTGCCTATCTGCATGAACTGTAGAGCAGGGGTGGGCAATCCTGGTCCTCGAGGGCCGCAGTCCTGCATGTTTTATTTTTTTCTCTGCTCAAACTTCTGCAGTACGGAGGACCGAAACTGACATAATTAAAAATAAAAGCGGAAATATATAAATTGACTAATAAATAAATAAATAAATAAATAAATAAATAAATAAATAAATAAATAAATAAATAAATAA